CGAGTTTCAACCTGCATCTAACGTCTAATTTCATCAAAATTACATAATTGTTATGTGGTGGGAGCTGGCTGCTAGCCAACGTTGGTAAACAATAATTGACGTCAATGTTTATTTCCCCAATATCCTCTTTTTTATTCCTTCACGTTCCCAATGGAACATAGAGTTTCAAGCTAGAGGCTTGAAGTTTCTGTAGTAGTGTTAATTTTTACAGGATGGGGTTGCTAGTCTCATGCCCAACCTTTCCTCTTCACCAGCTTTTTAATTCTGACTTAGCGATATAAAGGATTGCGCCGGCCGGGGACCGAACCCCGGACCATGTGCATGGTCGGCGAGCGTCCTAACCGGTACGCCACCGACGCTCCGCGGCTATAGTGGTGAGAAAATCAGAACAAAGGCTTAGTGTAGGCGGATGCAGTTAGCATATGAATGATCTGACACAGCCACAAAGAGATGCAAGGTTAACTTTCTGTGAGAAACAACCAATCGAAAGACTGTATTTTCTACTAACAATAATCTACAATAATGTACATGAAAATCTATAAATATGTGTTGATTTTCCTTAATAAACGATCTGTTGCCTGGCCCTCGTCTTCTGTTGTGACAGTTATACACGTATTCAACTCTTTGCATTTATTGACTAATAATACCAATAGCTATGTATGTGACACAACTCTTATCACTTCTGCTTCCACCATCTCTCATGAAAAAAACATTGTAAATAAATGTGATTGTGCACAGTTAGAGAAGTAAAATAAATTCGCTGAACTAAGTGTTTTGTTCTGGCTGATTGATGTTCAGTTTATTGTAATATTTATGCATATTTTAAGATACACATGTTTTAAACTATAATCTATGAAGCTGTGGTTAGACCTGTCTACTTTGATTTGACACTAGTAACTAGTGTGATGCGTCTAGTCCTCTAGTCTAGACCTGTCTACTAGCCAAAACTGTAGACAACAATTTACGTCATTGTTTAATTCCTGAATCTGGGTCATGAGATAAAACAATAACAAAGCTTAACCTTGACGAACTCAACAACCAATCACAGAAGACTTAACGTGTGCAAATACGATTCGCAGATATATGGCTTAACTTTTTTTTGAGAAACGGTCACAAGCAGTACAGAATAACCTTCAGCGAGAAAATAACCAATCAGAAGACGTTGCTTCTCTGCTAACAATAACGCTAATAATAATGTACATAAAAATCTATAAATACCTTTAGATTTCCTCAATAAACAATATGTTGCCTGACCCTTGTCTTCTGTCGTCTTCTGTAGTAATTTCCTTAAAACGAATTGTTGGTAATCCGATGTTTAGCTGGTTTTCGTCTGCACATTGACAAATATTAACAGACAGTTTCCATGAGTGGGACGTTGGTGAATAGTGATTCAATGTCAATAGAGAAAGAGAGAGTATACTCTTGTTCGATATGTTGATGTCATGTATACAGTGGACAAATTGAAAGGTGTCGCGAAGCAAATAATTCCATATCTGTTTTCTTATAGATTCTAAAATACCAGCTAACCATTTCTCAGTTGAATAGGATGGCGTGTGGTACCTGACATGTCTAAAATTGGATCCATCAGGAGACCGGTTTTGTGTGTATCTCTAGTAGTAAACCATATAGTCTTGGTGTTATTCATCCTATTGGTCTCGAATGTGATCATAAATTTCATGGTTGACTAACTAACTAACTAACTGCTCAATTTTCATTTGTTTGAGAACATCAGTGAGCTGGTCTGGTTTTCAATCTATCCTGTTTTATTTCTTTCATTGATCGGTTGAGAGAATTTATTTTTTCCATCTGACTATATATCATTCGCGTCGGTGGCACAGAGGTAGAATTCTCGCCAGCCATGCATGTAGTAGGGGTTTCGATCCCCAGCCGATACACTCCTTTACCTCGCTAAGCCAGTAATAAGACTGGTAAAGAGGGAAGGTTGGGCATGAGGCTAGCAACTCCATTCCATAAAAATAAAACACCACTGCTACCGAAACTGCAAAGCTGTAGCTAGGAGCCCTATATTCCACTAGGAACGTGAAGGAATTAAAAAAAACACTGTATGTCACTCATTTTCTCTCTGTAATCTGTTCTATCCAATAAGGACTCCATCAGCCCCCTTATCTGGATGGCTTATGAATAGTTTTTTGTTATGCCTCAGTTGATTTAATTGTTTTTCCGTGCTGCTCTCTTGGGCTATTGTTGTTGTTTTCGCGATTGTACAGCTAAAGAAGGGGAGACGAATTCTGCTGAAAGAGCCTCTTCGCTGAACACTACTTGTTTTGTTTTTATCAATGAAGTGAAATGTCGGATAAATTGAGGGAGTAAGAGGTGTTCTTTTATACAAGTATAAAAATAAATGAGGAATGGAGAGAAATGACATATATACGGCATAGTGGGTTATGCTCTCAAGTTATAACTCAATTAATAGATTCTATAGCAGTCTAGATTAGCGATAGTTACTGGACTTGTTGCGTTCGTCAATAAGTTCTGGATGTTTTAATTGAATCGCCATAACTTCCGCTACTTAGAGGTTTTAGTACCTAGTAGCCTTTTGCAATCCTTTTTCTTTTGGTTACACGAGAATAAAAGCCCGTAAAGAATTTCTCTTTAGCACTTCAAGAGTATTATCAAATCACTCAGTGATTCTATGTGGTTGAAGGAGTTGGCGTTAGCGTGTCATGAAAGGCAAGTGAAACAGATTGCTGAATACTTTCATTAACAGCAGACTTCGCTAGTTTCACGGTGAATATCAGGTGTTCACCTGAAACGAAATAGCAACAGGTAACTCGAAAACCCTCGAACCAACGAAGCACCTTTCGCTGAATAAATTTGTAGAAGGAAATGGAGGTTATTGGATTATATTGAGCTTAGGAGGCCATCTATTAACAATACACACACTGGGAAGAACCTCGAGGATGATGCAAATTTAGCGTCAGTCAGAAGGTGAAATGTTGGAGTGGAAGGACATGAATGTTTATGGACTGTGTTGGGGACACCTAAAATTGATGGAAGAAATGAGGTTCTGATGAAGTGAAACTGTTTGTTCCTACTACGAATTATTATAATTATTATTATTCCCTTCACTTCTGAGTGGAACATAGAGCTTCATTTCTCCCTATTCCCTGAGGTCGCTTTCCTCGCCGGGCAATGTTAGCTGATATAGGGTCAGGCTGGAAAAGAGCTAGTGCCGGTCAAACGAAAACATGGCACCAGTCAATGAAATCCACAACAGTTAGTCTAAGCCACGTAGGAAGATGTAGACTTCCTGGTTGGAGTCCTCGGGACGGTAAAAACCAATGGTTGGAAACGATTGGTGACATGGCTCAAAATCGTTCTCAGTGGCGCAGATGCATCCACTCCTTGTGACTTATGATTTCCAATGAAACTGTTTTGTTCTTCGTTATTACTATTCCTTTTGTCTCATATCCCTGTCTACTGTCTACTTTCTTCTCTTCCTTTGTGTGCTACATTGAGTGTGGCGACTTGAACTGCCGCACATATGTGCAAAGTTCTATGTCGAAAACCGACCGACCTATTCCCTGAGGTCATCTTTAACTGAGCCTACGATTTCCCATAGTCTCTCATCTCTTCCTCACACGAAATCCTGTATGTCATCATCGGGAACATGCTTCATTCACCGTTTCCCACTCGGCTTCCAATGGAGCGATAGCTTTGCGGGCGATGTCACCGCATGATCTCCTCAGCGCACGCCCAATCCGCCTCCTTTCGTCTTCTGTATAATTTTCGACCCCATAGATTCTTGGTTAGTTTGTTCTCAGCCAGAGTTACGTGTTACTAAATCTTTCTGATCAGCCATGTGACCACCATTATGGAGCTAGCGAAGACAGCTGTTGATAAAAGTCTACAACATGCTGTTGGAAATGTCTGTTGTGACTCACGCGCCAAGTTTCTGACCCATATAGAAGAATTGACTGACTGACTCCACATTGGTGTTGAAACTCCGAATCTTGTTCTTTATGCAGCTGAGTGAGCCCAGCAGATTCCCAAACTGGTTTCAAGTTGATGAAGGCGTATCTTACCTTTCCGATTCTGGCTGGCTGGCTGTCTGGCTTTGACATCTTCATCTGTTCAACCTGTAGATGAAAGCAATGCTGTCTAGATCAGTGAAGGCAGTAACCTCTTTCACATTTCTTCCCTTGATAGTGACTGGTGCTGGTCGCTGTTTTGGTTGGTCGGTTATTTTCATCACCTTCGTCTTCTCTATGTTCACATGAAGTCATGTTCCTACTCGGGACTCATGAAAGATTTAAATTTTATATTAAAGCCTTCCCGGAAGCGATGTTGTCTAGAAGGAGGACAACGAAAGCTTCGCAATTAAATCAACCAATTCAGAGAAAGCAACCTAATCGAAATCATCCACCTGAGCTACCACACTTCTGTATTATTTCCATAAAGTTACTAAAATCCGGGAAGATAACTAGATTGGATATTATAACTCATCAAAAGAATTGAAAACAGATCCATCAAACGTCAACGAATGTCCTCATACCACTACTACTATGACATTGTACTATAATAGATACAGACTGATAGGAAGCGGTCAAAAATTGATAATCCACATTTTATTTCACAATGGCTGTAGAAGTAAATGGAAGTCTTTATTCCTCAAATCTGAATTTAGCTTACATTGTGGTCTGGAAATAATCTCATTGGACAACTTTTCTTTGCTTTTTCTAACCTTGGACAAATCGTCAGCCAATCAAAACTGTTTATTATTCCACTGTTGTTGACGTCTTTTAATATGGTAAAAATGTATAAATATGATGTGTTTTTCTTTAATAAAAAAAGTCTGTTACCACTTTTCTTATCTTGTCTTCCACCAATACACTATTACTACTAAAATTACTAATATTTACTAATAGATAAATTACACACAGCATTTTTGTATTTCAGTATTGATTTTCTATCGTTTAACTTCGATTATTTCACTCTATTACCATTATCATTATTATTGTTATTATTATTAATTAAGAATGAATACCACATCGTATACCAAGGATAAAGTTTACTATTGTCTAACATTCCAGCAATTGATAATTGATAAAGTACTGAATCAATCGAATCTAGACGAAAAGTTAACTACCCTAACAGCTGGTCTAGCATCTATAACATTGCCAACTTGTATTGCCTATGCATTAGCTGGAAATATGACCATTCTAATTTTATTATGTCTGAATGTTAAACGACCAAATCATATGGAAATTTATGGTTGTATATTAATTCTATTCGATACATTATTTGTAATTGTTTCATGTGTCTATTATATTCCACAGTATTTTGCCTGGTGGAGTCTATCTATTACAGCTTTACACTTTACAAGTCATGCATACTGTAAACTAATCTTTGGCTTTATTGATCTATTCTCAGCGATTCGTATGAATCTTATCCTATATATGATTATTCTATGCCTGAGAAAACCACAGTATTATTATTACCATTCAAAAATGTATGGTTATCTACGCTTGATATCAAGATTAATTATTATCCTAGCTGTTAGTTTAATACAAGCTGTACCAACATTTGTAATATACGGTTTATGGCTGCATGATGATATCTGTCTCTGTCTACCACATCCACAATGGTCTTATAAATATCATAAATTCTATTATATACATAAAGCGTTATACTTGGAATGTTTAATTCAATCAGTTATTTCACTACTTTTAAGTATCCCGCTATGGTATAAATATAATCTAGATAAACAAACTTATTTATATTTAAATAATCAATGTACATCACGTAGTCTATTGACTAAAATATTGATTAATTTAAAATTAGAGATACAAGGTCATCGACAAAATGAACAATTCTTACTTATTCAAATATTTACAATATGTCTATTGAAAACGTTACGTGGTCTATGTAGTCTATCCTATTCAATGCAAAGAGCAGATTTAACCAATACTCGAACAGTAACACATCCATCTGTTTATATGCTAACATTATTTAGTAAGTGTGATTCATTAAGTATATTAGAAGTTATATTTATTAGTAGTTCTTCTGTTGTCTGGTACATAACCTCTTATGAAATTCAATTATTTTGTAGATATTTACGGTTGAAGTTATTTTCTACAGGGAAAAAGAGTGGTGGTAGTAGTAGAGCAGCATTTGCATCGTTAACATCACAAGATTATGCGTATTTATGTCAAAAAAGACGCTTATTTCATTCATATTATCAAATTAATCATCAAAAGTATCCTGCACACAGAGAATTATCCATTCGTGCACAGAAAAAAGTTGTTCAACAATTAGATAATTTAAAAGAACATTTATTAAAAATGCATGCAAAAGATTTAAAAGATACAAATGTTTGGAAACGTTATATGATACAAAAAAATTATTACATGAATTATTTGCATAAAATTCACGATGATGAAGAACAAACATTGAATGAATTAGCTAGCAGCTTAGATTTAGATCCAGCGAATCCATTATGCTTGAATTCACTTGAAATAGATACTCCAGTTGATGAAGAAAGAGAAGAAGGCGAAGGAGGTGAAGGAGGCGAAGAAGAACAAGAAGTAGACGAACAACGATCAGAAAGTAAACAGCTGACGATAGATGAGCGTACATCAAATAAAACTGTTGATAATGAACGACAAAAATAGCAATGAAAGCTGTTAAATGTGTTATTTATGGAGGATGACTGTAGTTGTAAAATGTAAATTAGAATGCTACAGCTCAAAATAATAATTTTTAGAAGAAAAAAATAACATAGATTAGAGGTTATTATGGTTGTTCATTTTATCCAGTGTAATTAATTCTTTTTTTCGGTATAAGCCTTGCCGGCTCCTAGGTTTCGTGTTAGTTAGCACTCGCCTTGAAAGAACTCATCTCCCTCGTGAGATTCGAACCCATATCACCTGGTGCTGCAGTCAGAGATGCTATCTCCTGTAGGATTGTGCTGGATACTTTTGATTAGACATGAGTTAGTAACTAGTGTGACATGTCTAGTCCTTTGTTTGGGGTAGACTGAATTCTATCAGCCACTTACTTCCTTACTGTTATTATTATTCGACTGAGTTCCTAGTGGAACACAAGGCTTCAGAAGCACATCTGCATTTTATTGCATGCTCTGAAGTTGTTTTTTCGCTGACTTCACGATTATCCATGAGCTTTCATCTCCCCTATCATACGATCTCCTCCATATCATCCTTGGAAGACCGACCAGCTATCCGTTTCTCATTATCCTGTTGTTCAAAGGCCCGCTTAGAGTATGTGTCCAATCCGCCCATCTTGGTTGCTTCGTTCGTGAAGATTTCTACTGAAAAAAAATCTGCAGCCTATTCAAAATGCTTTTGATAATGTATCGAGTATCGAGTGTCTGAACTGTATAGAAGTAGTGATTCGATATTAATATTTAAAATTTTTGACTTATGAAGTTCTTTCCTGCCATTCCGACTATATGGCCTTGACATCCTAATCCATGCCGCCGCCTGGAGTTCAAGAGGAAGAAGAAGACGACGTAATTTTTCTGAAACCTGTTGTAGATTTCTCCTCAGAAATCCGAAACGACAGCTGTAATCAACCTTTCGATTGAATAAGCCAAATGTTTCAGCTATGCATAAAATCTAAAACACACACCAGATTTGTCTAAAATACAGCACTATTTTACATGCAAAAGTTGAGATAAATTTCAATAGAAATAGTTTCGGAGTAACGATATAGTAAGTGAAATATAAATACACACTACTTACTAATGATAAGTAGTATAATAATGTTGAGTGCAAAGAGAACAACACCAATTGGAAACAAAAGAAATTAGAGAGAAAAGAACCAGAAGTTCAGCAAGAATATCTTTTCAGCGGAAGTCATTAAACGGACTAGTCAGGCTATCTTCACGCCACACTGAAGACCAGATGGCCAGCCAGAGAGGATAAGTATCGAGGAACTATGTCAAAGAACCAAACAAGAGCTTGTCGACCAATTAAATATGCAGAAGGAACTCGAGATGCATAGATTAAACACACCCAGATGTGACCATCCACCTGGATAGTAATTAAAGAGTTGGACGTGAGTCTGACGGTGACATTGTGGAGTTTGTGTGAGGAGGGCTAGGAGAAGATGGGCAATCATGAAGATATGTGAAAAGAGCTGTAGAGAACACAGCGAAATAGTGGTATGCTGCTGAACTCAACTCGGAACTCTCTAGAAGTATATTAGCATCAAAGATACTCACCAGTAATATTTTAATTTTGATTATTTCCCAGAAGAAGTTCAAACCAACATGTCGAACTAAATACTGGAATTGGTTGGAGTATTTCTTCATGAGCTGACATCATTTAGGGAACTGGTAGAACAGGCAGAACTGACATATCATGAACTAGCAGAGGTTAGAATTCATGGGCTGGCCATTAGGTCGGGTCCCAGTGGCTCAATGGTCTACGAGCTCGCCTTGTAACTGGAAAGTCCTGGGTTCAAACCCTAAGTGGCTGAGGACTGATGAAGATCCCCAAACTGGGACGAAACAGCTGGCTGTCCAGTACTTTCAGGTTTCCCATAGGTTCTTTAACTGATGTCAGCTCATGATGAGATTCTCCAACCAATCAAACAAAATCCCTATAAAATCAATACTTGAAAATACTGGGATTATTCACTTCAGTTTCTCTGGAGTTTCTGCAAACCTGATTTTGAAATTTATCTTCTTTGTCTACATATAAATTTTATTATTTGAATGTTATAGCCAGTATATAGCAAAATCACTGGATACTTTCAAACTCAGTCTCATTTTAATTCTTCAACAGACAAGTGATAGAAGTAGAGATTCCGAGAAGCGAGGTCACTGTATAAATCTGACTGTGTAGACACTATAAAATTGTTAAATGCAAAGTTATCTCATTACTAAAATGTGCTTTTATATTATGGGTTGAAGGGTAATTGACAGAGTGTTTCAGATGTGAATAGTGTTTGTTGTCATTGACGATGCCACAACACCGTGAAGAAGTTAAATTCGTTTTTGAGTAGGAAAATTAGACATTCGTCAGGAATCATAACTTCGAAGTAGGAGAAAAGAGGAAATAATGGTTGAAAAAAAAGTGAAAATCCCTGATTTCCCTACACAGAAACAGTGATCACGAATACGGCTTGACTATGCCAAACTGACTACACGACAGCCACCTGTTTCACCAGCTCGTACTACCTAAAGGAGAACACATAACTACGTGAGCCACAAAGTATATTTTACGCAATAATTATATGATTCAAAATATCAACAAGACTATGTCAATTAGCCTGTGATCATCACCAATAAAATATTGTGGTGGACTGGATTATGAGGAAGACTGCGCAATGGGAGTGAGAAGAAAGGAATTCTTTGGACCACCAATAAGAAGACCCTAGGAGATCTGGATTTCACAGATGATATATGTCTAATGTCACACGAACTCGAAGACTTGCAGGCGAAAAACAGCAAACTGGCTGAAGTGGCAGACAGCGAAGACAGAACTCCAGGTGAACATAGAGAAGACGGAGGTGATGAAGATAACAAATGAACCGCAACAACAACAACAACAGCGAACAGTACCAGTCACCATCAACGAGAGAGATTTAATAGAGGTTACTTCCTTTACTTATCTGGGAAGCACAGTTTCAACCAGAGGTGAAACGGAGGAAGATGTGAAAACTAGACAGAATTGGAAAGGCGAGACACGCCTTCATCAACCTGAAGCCAGTTTGGAAATCCTCTGCACTGATTCAGCATAAAGGACTAGATTCAGTCAGTCGATTCTTCTATATGGGTCAGAAACTTGCACTGCGAGTCACGAAAAGGATCTACAGCAGGCAACTGAAGATTTTTATCAACAGTTGCCTTCACTGTTTCCATACTGATGATCATATGGCCGACCAGCCAGAAGGAATTAGCAGCAAGAAACTCTGCAGTGGAACAAACCAACTAAGATCCGATTGCACAACAAATATGTAGGAGAAAATAGAGATGGATCGGACATACACTGAGGAGACCGTCGAATGACATCGCGCACAACGCAGGCCATTGCGATGAGTAGGTCGTCAGTGCAAAGGCGACATGGAGAAGATCGTTCGGGGAGGAGAAGATGAAAGATTACGGTCAATCGTAAACCCAACTGAAATGGACAGCAGAAAATAGAAGAAAGTGGAGATGTGTTGTTGAAGCCCAATTTTCCGCTCGCAACCCGAGAGAACAATGGATAATAATAATTCTGATTGGTCTTTTTCTAGACTGGACATCGATCACTATAGTAATTCCTTAATTGATGCCTTCTAATATTTCTGCACTACCACATCTTCTTTCCTAACAAAATGAAGGAAATAAAAGCAAATATATGGTCAAATTAAAAGGTTTTTAAAATTGGTCTGGTTTATCTCATACTACTTAATCATAGTAAGTAGTTCAAATTGTTTAACATAATTAAATAGACAGTTCAAAAGATTTCAGCCGATGGCCTGCAATCATCTAATAACAACAATTCTGAGTGCACCGTTATGACAAGTCATCTAGTGGCCTGGTGGCCACATTGCAAATTGGAGTGGTAGAATTCAGTCTGCAGTAAACAAAGGACTAGACAAATGATATTAGTTAGTGTCTAACCAATTGGACAGGTGTTGTTTTGTAGACTATATAGTAAATGGTGTGTGGCAGCACAAACTGTAATAAATATGCATTAGCTAGGAATTACTACGCAATCGGAGTATGAATGCCTCTTGTACAACCAGTAAGTTATATCTTGTTGCACAGAACTGGTCTTTAGAACTATTTTCGACAGGTCATCATAATAATAACGGTGGTTACACATGAATTTTGCCTTGGCTAAAAGAAAATAACAGGATGCTTTTATTAAATCAAACTCATCTTTGCAGTACACGCACATTTTCCACCTTCCCAATGTAAACAGAAAGGAAAATTAGTTTAATATAAATAAGTAGATGTCAAAATACACCCCACATTAATTTGTTTTTGTTGGACAAACAAAATCAATTCGCATAGCGCTATTCTATCTCATCTTGTTGATATAGAACACAAGATTGATGATGTTAATCGAGGCGACTTTCAAAGTCATGTACCGCATACCAACTAATCTGAACTTTGCCTTAAGAGTTCGTCCATTACATATTACTGAGGCTGGCTGTTGGGATCCATCCACATTAAGAAACCTAACTTGTGTATGTATCCAAGAGAAAATGTTGGTTCAGACACTGTCCTTACCTCACTGGCCATCAAGGTTTCAAGGATCCTTAGTTTGTTGTGGAAATTTCCTTAATTTCACTTTATATTATATTTGCCATTACACTTTTATGCTTATTATAACTTAGGCGCCTTTGTTGAATTGAAATTCCATTAATCTTAACAAATCGGTAGTATTTAAAAACACGAATATTGTTAATGACGACTATTCTAGAATATTCTATGTATATAAACGTATATATATATTATTGTAGAGCAGAGGAGGAATTACCGAGAAGGATATTCTCTGCTCAATTTTTGTTTTTTCTGTATGTCTGAATGAATATATTATACCAAAAAAAAATAGTTTTTATTTTTGTGATCTACTCCTTATATCCTTTGCATCAACTTTGTTTTTCGTCAGTTTTTAGGTTTAGAAGTTTCATTTCTTCGCCCGTGCTGACAGTC